CCCCCCTCACACACACACATTATATAGGGCTTCTCGGTCAGGAGTGCGGTGGCACTTTCTATTTGACAAGAATTTAGGAGATCCCTAGATTTCAGCCAGGATCAAAAAAAAAATGTCTTGCCCCTATCCATGAGATATAACAAAAACGCCTTCAATGGTATATTTAATGCCCCCAAAAGGGAGCAAATGTCAAGTTCATTGATAGTGTTTACACAGATCTTTAGCATCTAAAATATTGCAAATGCCTAATATTCCGTGCCATGCCCGACACTCAATGTGCAGAACCTTACTTGAGTTCCTACCAAGATTGCAAATTACAGAATGAAGAAAAATATTGTCAGTGAAGCGGAAGGATGTTCATCCTTTGCAAACACAGGAAAAAGTCTATAAATAAAGCTGTGCCTTTCTAGGGTCTCCTTCTCCCATCGAGATGACTGTTGTGCTTGAAAATAAGCGGTGCACGCGTTAAACCCAGGTCAAACATTTGATTTAATTACATAGTAACCGTTACCTGTATTCTAGCTTCTGGCAAGTCTATTTTGGCAGCTAATCTTTCTCTGGCAAACACATCAGGATAATGGGTTCGTTCGAATTCTGCAAGCACACAAATGAACAGGTTGGTTAAGAAGATTGTACAGTTTTCATTATAAAAGATGTTAAACATATCCAATTAGAGGCTGAGCTGTTATGACCTCTGCTCATATCTCTCTCTAAACTGAAAGTATTCTGATGAGTGGGAAGGAAAGACAGACTGTGCTTGTGTGGCCTTGGAGAAGTAAGAGTTGGCTTAGCTGTTTATTTAATGTAGATGTAAACCCTAAATGAAAGGCATTTAATTTGCTTAAGCACAGTGTATCATAAACAATCGCCATTATTTTCTGTACAAAATATTTGTTTTCACTTTTTTTTTGTCTTATATTGCATGTCAGTGCTTGAGGTGTCCGGTAGCCTCTTAGCAGCTACTTCCTATCTATATGTGCTCCAGCAATGGCTCCTAGACATGTAAACAGCTTAAAAATTTGGTTCGGATATTTCATTTCACATATTGCATTCGGGTCTGGGAGCCTCAGCTTTAGTAATATACCTGTATGTATGTGGCTCCCAGACCCGAATGGCATTCGGATTCCGAATTTCCGAATTGCATTTCGGAGCTCCCAAATGTCATTCGGGTCTGGGAGCCACATACATATACTACCAAAACTGAGGCTCCCAGACCCGAATGGCATTTGGGAACTCACGAATGCAATTTGGAAATTCGAATTCCAAATACCATTCGTGTCTAGGAGCCTCAGCTTTAGTATCATATGTATATACTAAACACAAATTTTCGTTACGGCAAATTCCTGTTCAGACCCATTCGGATGCATTAAACCAAAAAACACATCTGATTGTCCAGAAAAGTCACATGTCTGATTCAGGTACGTTCTTGAACAAAATTAGGACAGGATCCGAAATTCGGAAACTGAAATTCAGATTCAGACACATTCAAATGCATTGGGATTCGGGAATTCGGTTGTGTTCGAATGTCATAATTTCGGAAAATTTGTCAGAATTTCAATTCGGAATTAAACAAATCGCACATGTCTAATGGCTCCATGTTATTTCACAGGGCAGGTTTGCTGATGGTGAACAGTAGCCCATGGGGTTGATTTACTAAACGCAAATAGGCTGTTCACTTTGCAAGGGAATTGCACTTTGCAGGGGAAGTTACCCCTTATTTAGTAAATGAGGTGAAGTTCCTCTGACGTCCATCCCCCAATCGTGTGCAAGCAAAAATACTGTTTGTTTGTTTTTTGGTTTTTTTCCTTGCACATGATTGAGTATTCTTTGCAAAATACAATCCCCACATTCAATAAGCTAAGGGAAACTTCCCCTGCAATTATCAAATTCCCTTGCCTAAGTGTACAGCTTATTTGCCTATAGCAAATCAACCCCTATGCCTGCGTAATGTGTGTCAGAATAGCCACTTGTAGTCTCCATCTGAAGCCCTTGTGACAACTCATCAAGCAAATGGCAACTGCACTCATCAGTTTATAATAAGCCTTTAAAGTAAGGAGCACAACTAGGAAACAGGGACAAAGCGTGGTCACCCAATAACAGGTAGTGTCTGTTCAAAGATCTTCATAGCAAGATCATTTGGTATCGTTTTAATGAAAGCCGAAGCTTGAAAAAGAACCTAACTTTAGAAGTAACATTAATATGTTAACATTTGTATTAGATTTTGGTGAAAGGGTTTACTTCTACCTTCAGCTATTCGGAATGTATTTATCACTCTCACCGCTCTCACTTGACTCATTACCACCCATGAATTGCAGTATGCCTTACCTTTTTCTAGTGCTTCTATTTGTTCTTGGGTGAATGATGTTCTGTTTCTCTGGAGCTTCCTTTTTAACTGGAGCCTCATTTGCGCCTCATCTGAATCTTCCCCATTGGAACTGATAGAGTTTGTGTTTTCTCCCCCACCTTCTTGCTGCGGACAGCCTTCTACAATGGCAAAAATAACATATTAGACCAACCTTATCATAGGCAATATAGGAAATGCACAACACAGACGTGGGCCACATAAATAAGGCAAAAAAATCCCCATTCAACTATAGTTTTTATCGATAGATAGATAGATAGATAGATAGATAGATAGATAGATAGATAGATAGAATTTTCTTCCTGGGAATATATCAATGGAACCCTAATGGCCCATTAAATCCGCCAACAGCAAACTTTTGAGTTGATTTTCCAATATCCAAATTATTTACACAAATTTCAAGTTAATAGATCCTAAACTAGCTACAATATTTTTTTTTTCGAATTAAAAATCTACTTTAACAATTACATCAAAAGTGTTAACGGTTCTCCCGAGATTATCTGTTGTCAGCAATTGCGATCAATTAAATGTTGATAGGTTTGCAGAAAATGTGATTAAGAACTCAAGCCAAGCTTGTAATCTCCTAAAAGAAATATTTATCTAGATTTTCGATTTGAATTCCCTACAGTCAATTTCATGTTTAAAGGTTCTGAATTTAGAAGTGAGTGCATTGTTCTACAATTTTATTCAACCATTGTACGAGTGTGCAATTCCCTGACACCTATTACAGCGAACAGTTGTAATTATATCATCAGCAAGAACAGCCTGTAATTGCAGAAAATGGAATTTTATATTTAGATAAAGGGACTGTCCATTCTTTGTAATATGGCGTGCAAGGGAAAAGTATGATTTCTTTTTTTTTAAATTTAAAAAATAATCATTAGCATATAATTTTAGAAGATAATGAAGTGACTTTAGTAACACACATACATAACTTCAGTATCTTTATATTGAGCGTATTACTTTATTGTGCCACTTAAATTAATTTACTGTCACACCTGTACTTATTTGAATTAATGTGTTTGAGGGTATCAAATATGGAATATTTCATCTTGGCGTAAGATACAACCTTAGCCAACTCTCCACGCAACTGAAAAATATCATATTCATAGTGGTCTCATCATGCTAATCCAAATCATTTTGTTATTATTTGCCACCTGGGACCCATTTAAAAATGCTTAATATGGTTAGATTGTCTTTTTTCTTTTTTGCTTGGCTCTGATTTTATTCCACAGTTTTTTAACAATTTTGTAAAATTTTTAAAACTTCCCATATTCACGAAGCTACAAATTTGAATTTGAAAACAAATCCGCAGGATTTATATCACAATAATGAAGCACATTTTTTTATAATTTTTTTTAATGCATTTTTTATAAATTTATATTACAAGCTCTTTCCTTTTTCCGAGTATAAGTTCAGCAGTGTTGGGCCAGATTGGTATTTTGCTTTTAAACTTTTTAAAAAAGCCACCTCCATTTTTAAAGCTTGCCAGTCTACTTTATCATAAATTTTTCATAAATGGCAGCAGGAGGGTGCAACTAAAAAACCAGCCCACCTAAAATTTGCAAAACCTGATTTAGTTTACAAATTCTTTATAAATAGGCCATGAGCTTTCCAAACATTTCAAATTAGGGTCTATTTTTTTTATTTTTTTTTTACTGGCTGCGCACATCATTTCTGTTTCCTCAGCTTCTTGGGCTATATCACAATGTGGGAAAACTTTCTCAGGCAATGCAACACACTTTTGCTAAGAAATTACATACATGCTCAAGTGTAAGTATTTAAGTTTCATGCAGCAGGTTTTGCATGAGTTAATGACTAGCAATGATAAGTGTTTGGGAGTGATAGAAACCTCAGAAATTTTGCACAATTCCACCAAATTTTGGCAGCTCAAGCATATCGCCCATTTAAAAAAAAAAGAAAATCAGTCGCCTCGAAACTAGAGGCTGAAGTCATCACATTGCAAGGCAACCTTTTGCAAAGTGCACAGTGTTCAGTTGACTTTTTTTAACCTAGTAGAAGATCTGCAAAAGCCAAGCCTAGTTGTAGATAAAATGGGGGAAAAAATGCTTGTTTGTTTGGTTTTTCAAATAATGCCAGGATCTGGAATCACGTTGCCAAAGACTGCTGACTTTTTGCTCAGAGCAGCCCAAAAACTGCTGATCTCCCTATTTGAAAGAGCCTGCACCTTCTGTAATTAAATATTGTGGGAATTAAGATCAGAGGAATATCCGAGCACAATGGTGGTGCCTTGAAAGGGTTAATAGAATTGTGACAGAATCTGGTGGTGTCTTTTCAAACACGTTGAAATGTTTTAAAACCCCAACATTCTCTTCCATTTAAATCATCAGATTCAACTACAGTTCGGACCATATGGACGTTTGTAGACCTATTGAGATGACCACCAACACTTGAATAGGAGGGGGGCTGCCTTTCAGCAGTGCACAATGGCGGCAGAGTAAGAGAAACTATTAAACACTCGGGCCAAGGGGATTGGCAAACTTCCGTGGGTAGAATTTTCAGGACACAATCGGGACGCAGAACAAAGGGATTCTCTTGAATTTCGCAGTCATCCACATTGTATCACAAGGGGTCCAGTCAACAGACTGTTCAGGCAAGTATGTTAACCTTTACGCTCAAGCATCATTAATCACTGTCCTTGGGGCTGTGCTACTCAAAGCTATATAGGACTTTTTTTTTCTTTCTTAAACTTTCTATAGGACCAAAAGAGAAAAAAAATACCTAAATGAGTCAATGGGATAAGTCCATACACTGCAGCTATTTACTCAGCAGCAGAAAAGGGGAAAAAAAAGTACTTAGTGGAGCTTAGCTAAGCTCCAGCTCACATGTTAACACACAAGTGTCCTTCTATTTACTCATCAAATCTGCTCTGTGGCTTCTGAAGTGTTCTGATACTAATTTATTGAGTGTTTGTGCATCGCATGCATTTTTCCAGCACGTTGGGGAATCTCTGTGATCTGTCAGCAGACATTCCCTTTTCTCCATAGGAAATAATATTCTCCCTTCTGTGCAGGCACCATGTCAAAAAGTCAACAGAAAGTAGTAAAAGTCGCAGTGTATCTGGGCTAAGTATGACATTGGTGATAAGGAGTACATGCTTTGGTATAGGGATCTATCTGGTGGTATCGGATCTCCAGGAAATAATCATTTTTTATATTACATGCTTTGGCACCCATTGTTCTTGGTGAGAGATCCGCGTCTGTATGCTAAGTCAGTTGCAAGAACTACAGTCATTTTGTATCCTCGTCCAACCAATATGCCTGGTATTTTTCTCAATGCCACATGTTCTATAGTAGCAGGAAGGACAATGGAAGTCACAGTGGGACTATAATATCCTGGCAGTTAGGCAGCAGAGCAAGCTAGGAGTGTTTGTAGGGCATGCTGTTACTTGTGGTCTGGTAACAGCTGGCATGCTATAGCAATAGTTATGGCATGCTGTAACAAGCACAATTAAAAGGTAGAAAAGTATACTATGCAAGGAGCTGCATACTTGGTTCTCCTTGTGTACGTTGATTTAATGCCCACGAATATCAGAGCTAAGTTTATCTAAAGTCAAATGTTTTTTTTCTATTTAAGATAAAGTGTGGAATGGTTCAAATGTCTGGATAGATAGATAGATAGATAGATAGATAGATAGATAGATAGATAGATAGATAGATAGATAGATAGATAGATTGATAGATGCCGGTCTGTTTTTTTTGCTATCTGTATCCCATTGGGGAGATTTCCCTTCACTTCCTGTATTGTACACACAACAGGAAATGACAGAATCTTTCCAAAGTGAAGGAAAGCCCCTTTAAGACAGTTGCCACCGGTACAACTATCCCCATTGGAACATCCCCCTCTACTTCTGTTCTAGTGACATCTCAAAATTAGGAGAGTGGGAATAACCACTCACCACTCTATCCAAAACTAAGGAAAGCATTTTCAGTTGTGATACATTTTAATTTAAGAATGCCCTATAAGGACAATAGTGTATAGTGTCACTTAGCTAACCAGCATGATGACTCTAGAATGCCTGTGATTGGTTATTGTGGGTGATGGCTGTATTGCACATATTATGTTAGCCCCTTATATTGGACGTTAGGTGATCTTTGTCATACGGTGGTTGGTGGAAGATCCATATCGCTCTTTGGAATGGTTAGTGCCTGATTAAACAATGTGCAGGCACATCTGGCATGTGCCCTATTTTAGGAGGACCATGGAGATCCGCTGAGTAAAAAACATCCCAGCTACTTGACTGTCCTCCAGAGATCAGTTGGTTAGGAGGTGTCACCACTGGTCCAACTGTGACCACAAACATGTTAATGTTCCACTTCCTGGATTGTGCACTGATTGCCTCTGAGCACATTGCTCCTACTTTATATATAAGCAATTTTTAAAGTAGTGACCACAAGCAATCAACAATTATCTTTTATTGCTCTAACTCCTCTAAACATGATCAATCTGATTGGGTGGTAGGGGACGCTGAATCTTGCCATCATCATTCCACCATCAATGAAGCAATCACTCAGTATACAAGGGCAATAAAACATTGTCCTTTACTGACAGAAGCAGTCAATAGCAGAAACTGCCGGCTTATAGAACATATGTTATATATTGTAAAGCATTTAGGTGTTTTATTGTCTTTGATTTACAGGAACAGCGTCAGGTTTTGAAGATTGTACCTAGCAATATTCTTGGTGGTCACTATGAATCCATCATACCATAAAAATCCACTTTTGTCTCTAATCATTTCCATCCTGGTACTTATTAATGTCATACCAATCATTGCATCTGTTTTATTTTAAGAGAACCTGTCATAATGGTTGTAACTTCTAGAGTTCCCATTCACTGGAAACCTTGGTTGCCAAGTCTGGAAAGCTGTGTTGATCACAGGCTGGCATATCATCACATTGCATGATGCTTCAATAGGTCTGCCCTGCCCTGGAACTAACACTCCTTTCAGAAGTTAGGCAATGTCACCCTCCAGCCTTGGAAGGGATGACAATGGGGTTGATTTACTAAAAGAATAGAAGCTGTTCAATTAGCAAAACAAGTGTTAGTAAATAAGATGAACTTCTATTCCCTATGAATATCCCATAATGTTTGAGGGGAATCA